CTCTCTTTCTATCTCTCCCTCTCGCTCTCTCTCGCTCTCTTTGTCTAGGTCTATTTCTCTCTCTCTCTATAAATATATATATATACTTCTAATACGAACTAGCAACTACTAGAACACAAGCAAATATATATATATATAGCTCTAAATCTTCCTCTTCCTCTCTCTCTCTCTCATTCTTTTTATCTTCGTCTCGGCCTGCCTCCCATCACCTCTATCGCACTCGGTATGTCTTCCTACCTTACATATATACTAGTGAAAAACCAGATACCACCACAATTAAAAAAATATTTGTTTGCGCTCACCCGACCCAGGCTGAAAAGTTTGGGTAGGTAGGTAGGCTTTTCTTTTTTTTGAGGGGGTCTTTTTACAAATTCAGCATGGTGTCTACATGCTCGGGTGTGCTTGTGTGGAGATACCTAAAGTTTATGTGGAATGTTTGTTTTGCTTGGAACATTGTCTTATAATGTATTGCCTACAGATTTATATAATGTACAGTGATACAATTTGTAAAAAAAAAAGAATGGGAAAGATCAATAACATTTTTGAGTCGGCCCCTTTTTGGCGGGTCGGTCGGGTGAGGGCAAACAAACTTATAAGTAATAGAGGTACTGCTACCTAGCTAACTCCTGCCTCAGACCACAGTAATCCAGGCAACACTGCCTAGTTATCCACTGCTCCAAGCCACAGTGACAAAAACTACAGGTTTATAGGAGCTAACGCCAATAGTATTGCAACAGACTCCTGCACCGATAGCATAGCTACTACTAGAGACTCCCGTCGTATGCGGGTGAACATCATGAGAGGAAATATTTTTATCATGGCCTAAGCCTAATCACTAGTTACTGACTGAACGAAGCAGCCTTCCGTATCTCACCGCAGACTTTGAGATTTGCTTTGTCATTCTGGCTGGAATCCCCAGCTGTTACAACAAAGCTAATTACAACTACATAACATAATCAGCTCCACACTCACATCAGCAAACTTCAGCTTATCCTTCCCCGGCGACTTTCCCTCCTCCTCCTCCTCCTCCTTCTCCTCTGCTTCCTTCTCGTGTCCTTCTCCCCCCGCTTCCCCCGCTTCCTCCTCGTGCTCCGGCATCCTATCGACGCAGTCCTGCAAATCCTTAACGAGATTCCCTAGAACGTCGTTAAGCACCGCCTCGTCTTCGTCCATTTCCACGGCAACGCCTCCCGTCTCCACGGCAACGCCTCCGGTCCGAGATTCGTCCTCCTTGGCTTCATCTCCCGTTTTATCCTTTGTTTCGTTAGACTGTCCCTTCCTTGCGTTTTCGACGTCGCTCGCCGGTCTGTCGCCACTGTCCTCGGTGTGTGACGCAAACCTGGCGATCGTCTGGGGTTTCCTCGATTCGGCTTTCTTCACGTCTACGGCAGTGCAAGTTTCCTCTACTGGTGTTGGATCGGCTTCCTTCTCCGTCGTTTCCTTTCCGGCCTTTTTCTTCTCCTTTCGGGACTTCTTCCCGTAGTCGTCATCAGAGCTGGAGGATCCGCTAGATTCCTTCTCGCCCTTCTCTCCTTCGCGGTCGAACCCGGCCTCGCAGAGTTCGGCCAGCTTCCTCACCTTCTCCTCGTCCGCGGCTTCCTCTTCGGCCGTCCGAGAGGAGGCTGCGGCGAGTCGCTGCGCAGGAGGGGGTCTGGCTTCCTTCGTCTTTGCATCGAGAGCGACGCAGATGGGCTCCGTATCGGAGGAGTCTTGTTGTAATGGGCAGGTAGTGACGCTGGCTACCTCTGCTGCTGAGCCATGCTCGTCGTGCGAGGGTGGCTTCATGTACCCTCCCCCCGTTCGAGGCTCTGTCCCCTCCTCCTCCCCCTCTTCCTTCTTCTTCTCTCTCTCGCGCCCCTCTTCCTTCTTCTTCTCTCTCTCACGCCCCTCTTCCTTCTTCTTCTCTTTTTCGTCCTTCTTCTTCGATTCCTCGTGTTCTTCTTCCTTTATTTTCTCTCTCTCGGGCTTCTCTCCCTCCTTTTTTACCTCTTCTTCATTATCTTTGCTGGCTTCCTCTTTCAGCAATATCCGGGCCACATGCTCGCCCACTCCTCTGCCATCTGCTACTTCTATCCCATCTTGTGTGGCTGATTCTTCAGACTGCAGTCTCCCGTGGCTATTTCCCCCATTAGATTCCCCATCTACCTTCTCAATGCTGGCTTTACCGTCTACCTCCTCCGTGGCTCCTCCCTCGCGCGACTCGGGCTTTCCCATAGATGTGGGCTTCCCAGTTTCGTAGACAATGACATCGCCTTCGAGGTTGAACGACGGCACAATCTCCAGCTCCACCCTGCAAACAGGCTTCCCTTCTCCATCGCCGCCGCCCTTCCCCCTCCTCTTCTTCTCCCTCCTCCTTCGGCGGCCGCCTTCTCCCTCGCCGGATTCCCCGTCGCTAGAGGAACCCGACGACGACAAGGAGGTCAGCGAGCCTCTCCTCTTGGCTTCCCCAAGGACGCCGATAGCGGAGACGTCCGGGGCGATCTCGTACACGGACACGAAGGAGGGAACGGCGTTCCTCCTCTCCTGCTCCCTCCTCCAGGCGGGGCAGCCGCTGCCGGGGCACTCCGCGAGGAAGGGGAGGTTGACGGGCTTCTGCAGGAAGAGCACGAGCGTGGACGTGTATGTGCGTTCGACGTCCGTCATCGCTGCTTCGTCGCGCGGGAGCCTGAGGCTGTTGCCGTGGTTACGCACCGCCTAGCTAACCGCTGCTGCTGCTAGCCACAGTAATAGAGGTACTGCTGCCTAGCTAACCACTGATGCTGCTAGCCACAGTAATAGAGGTATTGCTGCCTAGCTAACCACTGATGCTGCTAGCCACAGTAATAGAGGTACTGCTGCCTAGCTAACCACTGATGCTGCTAGCCACAGTAATAGAGGTACTGCTGCCTAGCTAACCACTGATGCTGCTAGCCACAGTAATAGAGGTATTGCTGCCTAGCTAACCACTGATGCTGCTAGCCACAGTAATAGAGGTACTGCTGCCTAGCTAACTACTGCCTCAAATCACAGTAATACAGGCAACACTGCCTAGCTATCCACTGCTCCAAGCCACAGTGACAAAAACCACAGACTTATAGGCGCTAACGCCAACTAGTATCGCAACAGACTCCTGCACCGATAGCATAGCTACTACTGGAGACTCCCGTCATAAGATCATGAGAGGAAATCCACCGGCACACCCATCCATCGCATCCTGTGTATACAGCGATGCGCGCGTACGAGTTAGGGCTAGGGTACGCTAGAGTCAACGTTTACCTGGGATCGGTAGATATTCTACAGCAATAACGACGATCAACAGGAAGCATCATGATACCGGCAATCGTGAAAGCGCAGCCAAACAGTCGCGCGGCGTGTAGCCCGGCCCAAGGATATAAGAGCTGTCCACATCTGCACATGTTGGGCCATCCTTAAAAAATTCCATGTTTTGGGGGGTAATGTTGTGTATGTTCTAACAGCTAATTTTTTAATACTTTCCATTGTAGTCTCACATGGAAAAACTAGTGTGTATCACACTAAATATCACTCGCCCCAGCTGGATCTCCTACTCAATTATGTGCTGATCTTGTTCCCATTTTGGGAATAGCCACCGCGGCCAAGTTTGCATTTGACCGCCCGCCAATACGTGCATTTACAACTCGTGTTGTGTTGAGATAGATTCAGCGCATGTACCGTGAAACATAGAAATGCACGACTTTTATCATGTGTTGCACGTATAGTTTGTGTCACCAGAAGATATGTTTCATTTTTAAAAGATATTCGGACCAATTCGGATAGCGGCCAATCTTGAACGTTTGCGTAGTTTGTACGGCCCAGGTCGCGCGCCCAAAAAATTGAGCTTGGCAGCGACTATCTAAATTGTTAATTTATATATTAAGCACTGTCTGTACCCAAACTTTCGGTGGCTTTTTACCACAAAATGCACACATTATTTTCACGTATCTGCCGGCACTAAAAATGGTGAATGAGCTTCCAAGGCCTGGTTCTGAAAATGCGGCCCGTGTGAAAGTCTGGTAGATGTCTGCCACCGCCATCATGTTAAGTGAGGTCTTTATTTTCTCTTGCACGGTGCGCGTGAGGAAGGGAGCCGTCTACTCCCGGCTTGGGGGGGGAATCGATCGGACAACCGGGGCCTAGTCCGGCAAAGGCAATGCTACCGTCCCGGATACGGGCCATCTGTTACCGGCGTCGCGCCGTGCACGTCCGACGATGTTTTTGTATGCACTTCAAAAAAGGACTTCAAATGTAGCCTAACGTTTGTTGTTTGCCCTCTGTCAGTGTGAAAGAGAAGTTCGGCCTCAATTATGTGAGCTTTAGCCACACCAATAATAAATACATCCCGTATCTGGGCTTCTAATGATGACTTGCTGGCCTGTACAGCTGACTTGCGAGCCGAGAAGAATGCAGCACATACTGACAGTGACGAAGAGCCCGGTGTGTGGCCTCCTCGTGGTTACAGATCTCAATGTTTCCTCACCTGCAGTTACATTCCACTCGTGGCCAATCAACATTTTGCAGCGAATGACATTCTTCCATCATGTGCACACAACAGTTACATTATAGGCAGTTGTCTTCCGTGGCAGTGGCCCTCTCTCTCCACATCTGTTGAGGTAGGAAGCGTATTTAGAATCATGCAGACGACATAGACGACATGCTAATGTCGCCCATGTTTGTTGTGCATAGTCGGGCCGGGAGGGCGGCAGCCGAACTCAGTGGCCGAGACGCTAACGGAGACCTATTGGTTGCCAGAAAAAGCATCACACAGTGGGAAAGCGCGACATGGAGACGGGGGGTCCTCGTTCTGTGGCAATTGCGGATAATATTGTCTTACACGACACCATACAAAGACATTCTTTCCTCTTCAGTTTGTTTCGCTTTTCTCTCTTGTTTGCGTGAAGGGCAGATGCTTGATTATTGACATAGTTTTTCACAGACCTTTTAAAATATATTTAATGTGACAAGTATGTGAGCAGTATGTATGCTAGTTGGCCGACTCGGCGTGGCAATTTCTGTCCCGCGGTCTAAAGTGTCAATCTCTCGGGCGCGCGTGGCGTCGGCGAATCATGGCGCATCTGGCCACGTCGAGGCCTGTAGTGCGGCCTAGGGCTAATCACCACGATACCAGGGCGGGGCGAGCTGACGCGCCCGGGGCGTCGAGATCGCGAGGTTTGAGACAAAGCGCTACACTAACGGTCGTGTAGCGAACGGGTACCAGTCATCCAGAGAGAGAACACGCGGATACTAGGAGAGGCGATGCCATAAGGAGGCGTTGTATCCTACACCGCCTGAGCGCGCACGGGCGACCGCGGGAACGGATGGCTACGAAAGTATCAGCGCTGGAGAGCTAGTGCATCCGTAGCAGCCAAATTCATAGGCCGTCAGCACGGATGCATAGCTCCCAGCGAACAGTTGCTCATTTTGTGTGGTCATTTAATCCTCTAGGACAAACGGAAAACTTTCTGCAATCATGTTATTTAGCGCTAAAACTCCACAACGTCATTTCCAAAATATCTCCTCCGTATCACGACCGGCCCCCGCATCATCTGCGCATTCCCGGATATTTCCGTGGCGCTGCTGCCCTCTAATCCGTCCTTGAAGAAACCCGCACGATAAATTTTGTTGTGAGACTATTGCGGCCATCTACTCGACGCAAATAGTGGAGACTCATCTGGGCACTTTGCTACAGCCAGCCATAGCCGGCGCATATGATGCAGCGGACTGCGCAAGAGACCACACGGGGGAGCATAGACGAGATGGTGGGGGGGGCTGCGATCCAACTCTGGACAGCCTTATATACCTTCGACTGCCGTCATCTTGTCAGGCGTGCAGTGACATTCGTGCCGAACCTATTAATGCTTGAATTCCTGTAGAATGGCTGTCATAATGCGTCAGATTTGATGTTTCAAACCCGTCGTACATGCGTAAAACACACAGTGGCACGTGGGTACCGTTGCTACGGTCCATAGCCATAGTACGGCTTGGCCGGGTTTAGAGGTTGGGCCGGGTTTTAACGAGCGACGCGTTGCCCCTGTCCTATGTAATGACGGGGGTGTGCTGACTTACTAAAAGCCTGCAAAGATAAATAACAAAAATGCGGACGCATTATTTCATGAGAAATTTGATACAAATAGTGACGTACGAAATTACTGCCGCCCATTTATCACTTTTCAATCATTACGCTGTTTACTATAACTAAGTTCCACGTAGTTATCATGAGATTCGGGATGCTTGCCCATTAATACCTAATTCTCGAAACAGTGTCTTGTGATAACATTTTTTGCGTATGTCAAGCTTAAAACTCTTAAATTTGTCCACCAACAAACCATGCAAATCATCAGAAATTTCTAATGTTTTGTACTGAAGGCCCACTTTCGTGCGGCCGTTGGATTGCCAGTTTTGCCTGATTTCCGCGCGGAGCTCCGCCCACCTTTAAAAATAGTGCTAGCATTGTGGCAGTGGTATTATCCTGCAGTGGGGAAGGGGCACTTGCTAACCTGTATAATACCAGTCGGTCATCGTAGGGGGGCGCTTGACTGCGTTCGCTAGCACCTGACGCTGCGTTCATATGAGTAGGCCCTTAAGCGGCCGTTACTAGCAGGAGCGGTAATCATTAACGTTAGGCACTGCATGCAGTTTTGTGGTATAGTCCTGAGTGTGGAAGGGGGCGCTGCAATGCCCAGTTTGAGCTGGCCTATGCTAGAAGCGCCGCAGCGGGTGATTTGGCAGTTGCCATGGGGGCGTGTCTTGACGAAAACGACGCGCGCCCGATAATATGCGCGCTGTATTTGGCGGCCTAGTCTATGGCGGCGTTTTCGCGCTGTCGCGCGTCAGAGGGCTGACGCTGCCATACTCAGGTAGCAATCACTACAGTAAGATTATAGGTTAACACCTCCGTTCACGACGACAGGACAATACGCGGCCCCAGCGTGGTGCCGAATGTTTCAGCGCGTGAATAAGCCTCGGTATTTCAGTAGGGTACCTACGTATTTAGTAGGGTAACTTCAGTGGGCGCAAGCGTTGGCGTGTTTTCTGACGTTGGGCCAACGTTTGGCGACGCTCAGGCAAAAAAAGTCGTTGGGCCATACTTGGCTGTCTGACGTTTCGGGCCAACGTTGGCTTTCTTGACGTTGGGCCAACGTTGCACGCTGAGCAATAAAGACGTTGGATCAACGTTGGCTGACTGGTCATATGCCGAACGGTTGGCGCCGCGTCAGACAGCCAACGTTGATCCAACGTTGGCAGCGCTGAGCAAAAAAGACGTTGAGAGTCAGCGTTGGCATGCCAACGTTGGCCCAACGTTATGTCATGAGCTGAAGACAGGCCCGTTGGCCCCAACGTGGCGCCAACGTCACATGTTATCTGGGTGTGCTAAGCCGCTATATGAAGTCTTGAATATTTTTACGTGTGAACGCTCAGTACGGTAACTGGAAATCTCCTCGTGTGAACCGCAGCTATAGTTATAACATGAATATTAAAGGTATTTTAAGAAAACTAAATGAAAACAAAACTCAACTTGTAATATTTTACTTATAATATTAAATAAACTGTTTTGTGCGAAGTGTTACATTTTTATTAAAGTATGTTCTAGGAAAAGGTGCGGCTGGAATAAAAAAATACAGGATTTTCGAATTTTTTATTTTTTTTCGGTTTTTCTTGAAAAGTTCGGGTCGGCGGATTCTGTTGACCCGAACAAAACTAAAAATTCTCGCCCAGGGTGACTGAAATTATTTTAGGGTGAGATAGTGTCTGCTCCCAAAACCCTCGCGCAAAAATATAAACAAGTTAATAAGGACAGAATTATTCGGTCTAATCTCTTTCTAGGCCTGCGCGGAGCAGAGGGCTATAGTTCTAGAAGCTACATGCGTGCGTGCATACGACATTCTAATAATAGATAAACATGATTAGAGAAAGTTGGATACAACAGAATACATGGAAACGAATGCGTGGAAAGATACAATCATTTATTGAAACTGCGTAACTCAGTTTTGCTAATCAAAAATAAAATTGAACAAATGTGTAGCTCAACATCGACAAATACAATTCTCAGGTATAGAGAATATTTAGTCAACTGGAAGTAACCAGTTGTATAAACTTGGTAAGCCATTACAAAAATATTTCAATAAACCGG